CCGCGCGGGCTGCGGCTGGGAGTGGCTGGACGCCACCGTGTGGACGGCGGACCGCGAGCTCGCCCCTCGCTGCCTTCGGCCCTGGTTTTCTGAGGCAGAGCCTGGGATATTACGTTTTCCCAGGGCTGAGGGTACCTTTATGCGGTGCGCGGGTTTTGCATCGCGAATCTGACCCTCTGGGCTCTAGTCTCGCCAAAGCTAAGGGCCGCGGGGGAGAGGCCGAGGAGCGTTTTTTGGAACGGCTGCTACCGTAGGGCAGGAAAGATGGCAGACCGGGTTAAAGAGCCATCTTCTGTGAAGGGCAAGAGCTGCGGGTTGGTCCTGGCGCAGTGAATTTGTTTCCTATCTAAGGCATTTAGTTACATGTGGGAAGTGGGCCGATGAAAAGCTCGGTGGCGATCGTGTGCGAGAATGTGGTGACCGCTTGGGTGCAAACACAGGCCCTCTGCCCTTTTCGTAGCATTGGTCGCTGTCAGGACTTGTCTTACTAATTTGTCCTCCACTCGTCGCATTCTATTTTAGACTCGTCTTCTCTCAGTGCCCCCTTCTTAGAGAGGCCCTCCTCCTGATTGTCCCATCTAAAGCTGACTGTCCGAAAACCTAGAACAGGCTGGGTGCACTTACTGTGCTCATAGATGGTTGATGGATGCATAGGTGTCCTCCTCAGGGAATCCCGCCACATTTGTTAATACATCCCAACATGGCCCCCAGGGCTCTGCTTAATCTGCTCTTTCCACCACCGCTCTGCTACTTTGCTTTTCTTGCTCTCTGCCTCCAACCTGGGATTTCCAAACTTGCACAGCACCACCTCCCTCCCATCCCCCCGTTTTTTGTTTTTGTTGTTGTTCCTTTGCTACAGGGTGCATGCACTCACTAGGGAGAGACACAGAGAGAGGGAAAGCGAGAAAGACACACACACACACACACACTAGCAGAAGGATGGCCATGTCTTAGTCCCTTCTCTATTCTCCTCTCAGGATTCTGGGCACACACAAACACTGTGTGTTTCCAGGTCTTGAACCACACAGCTGGAAATGGGGGATCCAGCTGTCTTCACCACCACACCACTGGCTGGTCAGCTCTTTCCCATTTTTGCAACCTTGGTCTTGCTGTTGTCTGGAACGCCGTCCCTAGGCCTCTGCAAGGCTGCCCTCCACTCCCTGTGCATCAGTGTCACTTCCTAGGGTAGTCTTCCTGGCTGTTCTACTTAGGAACAGTACTTCTCACGTCCACCTGCACACCTTCCGGCAACTTTGTGAGGTCGTTTACCAGACATTCAAATCCTGCCTCTCCTAAAATGTGAGACTGTGGGTGGCTTCTAAAACTGCCTGAAATGGAAGTAATAATGGTATTTACCTCTGGGCTGTGGGAAGATTAATAAAAATTACAAAATGCTTCAGGTGCTTATTTATGCCAGTCATTCCATTGTTTGCCTTTTGAATATTTTTTTTATTCTCAGAACTACCTGGTTAAAGAGGAATGATTATGGTACTGATTTGGAAGTTGAGGCTTAGGAAAAAAAAAACAATACGCTCATCATGGTCACATAGCTGAGGAGTGTTAGATTCAAGAGGCCTGATTCAAACTTCAGGGGTCTCACGGCAGAGCTGGACACCTGTATTTGCTTTGCCACAGTGCAATGCCCTTCTGCTTAGGCAGGTACACAATACCTGAGGACTAGTGGGTTCAACTGCTGCTGCTGCTATTTTGGGTGGACCTATTATTATGGTCACTTCTCCCTGGTCATCTGATGTCCCTGAGCATATGCTGTCTCCTGCCTTCCACAGTCCTCAGGGGATTGCCAGTGTCTGTGTCATCTTAATGGCGTTGGGAGTCTTTTCTCAGCCCAGTTGTATTATGTCCAAGGGCATTATCTGCCTCCTCCTTGGGCCCAGCACAAAACTGGACCTTCAGAAGGTCTCAGTGATTCATGCCTGGGTCAATCTGTACCTTCACTAATGACCAAGTGACTCTCATCCCATTCTACAGCACAAGGCCCATAGCACTCTTCTGTTTGATTTTCCAGGCATTGGTGACTTTCAGAGATGTGGCTGTGACCTTCACTAAGGAGGAGTGGAGACAGCTGGACCTGGCTCAGAGGACCCTGTACCAGGAGGTGATGCTGGAGACCTGTGGGCTTCTGGTCTCACTAGGTAATGGTTCATCTCTTACCTCTTGGGGAACCCTGGCCTCCTTGATCCTGGCTGACCACGAAAATCACAGAAGGGGATTTTCACAGAAGGATTTTCTGTGGAAAAAAAAATATATTTTTGGAGAGGTTTTTGCTATAAGGTGTGGTCTCCAAGAAAATCCTTCCTCCCCACAGTTCCTGCAGTTTTCTGGTCCTGTTTCTACCTGCCTGGTCTCCTTGTGCCTGCATGATGGATTGGTGGGATAGAAACATAATCCTCTGAATACAAAGCTTCACCCTAGTGCCAGCATACTCTGATCTTAATTTGAAGTCCTTATTTCAGAATCCATAGGTGTGAAGCTATTTACATAGGCCTGTTGGCAGGGGCTGTGGACAATGGCTGTTCTCAGAGAAGAGGTGAGTCAGGTGCCCCTCAGGAAGTGTTTGTCATCAGTTCCCCTCAGCTGTCTTCCTAAATAACACAGTCTCAAGATAAGGCCCTCTAATGATAATAATAATAAGAAGGCATGATCATTACTTGTTTCTTGAGGCTGGGCCTCAACCTTCTATTAAGCTAGTAGATGGTTTCAGAGGATGCATGGGGCTGTCCTCAAATAATGGATGTGGACACCCTCAGAAAGCTGTTCTGTTAACCTTCACTGTCCAGCCTACTGATGTTGTCATGAAAAAAATCTCGGATCAGCACAGTGGTTTTTTTTTTTTTTTTGAGAGGTTTCTCCTATAGGGCGTGTGTGCTCGCCAGACAGAGAAAGACAGAGAGATAGAAAACGAGAAATCACCCCCCGGGGGGATGGCCACGCCGCAATCTCTTCTCCATTCTCCTCTCAGGATCTTGGGCACACACGCACACATGCCCAGTGTGAGTTTAAGCCACCAGGTCCGGGACTCAAACCACAGTTGACTACATGGGAGTCCAGCGACTTAGCCATTATGCTAACAGCTGGTCCTGATGTCTTCTTCTATTTGTAAGAAGTGAAATTGACTTTCCCATTTATGACAACAAAATAGGTTTTCTTTTAGAATACAGTATTTAAGAGTAATGGGTCTTTAGAAGTTATAGCACACTGTGCATGTGTGCCATCCAGACCTATCACTTGGAGTTCAGTTGGCAAGTAGGTGTCAGTCTATAGATGACAACTGAGGTGAGCTATTGAAAGTAAAGTGAGGGGTATTAGGAGTAAACAGTCAGTGGTCATAACCTATCATGCTGCTTCAGAGAAGGATCTCAGGAAGCAATGCTGGAGTTGAGACCTGAGGGCCGAGTAGGGGTTAGCTATATGGAAGGAAGTGGAGGAGGGGCACAGTGTTCCAGGCAGAGGAACCAGCATGTGAAAAGTCCATGAGGTGACAAGGAACTCAACTCCTGGCAGATCCTAGGGTATGTCAGATTGATCTTCTCTACAGCGCCGTCCAGAGCCAGGCAAATGGTCACATTAGTGAATGTTACTGAGACATGTCTGTGGATCACAATTTCCGATGACATTCTATGGGTCCTTGTGGCTCTCTTATTGTGTTTCTATTCAGAATCCTCCTCTTTGTTACTCCCTATTTCTAGTAAAATGCATTCTGTTGTGTGTAGCAGAAAAAGAGATCAAACTGGCTTCATCTGGGAGGAAATATACTTCACCTATGAGAAGCTCCAGGTGTGGTTTCCTGTGACTCCCTGTGTGCTTGTTGGATGCAGCAGCCCAGTGCTGCCATCAAGGATGCCAAGACTTCTGTTCCCTCTCGCTTGGCCAGGCTTCTGCCTTCTCAGATCGGCTCCCTCACAGAGAGGCAGGATGCTGCGGTAGACTCCTTTGTGCAGCCCTCTCTTCCCACATTGGAATAAAGGCTTTCTCTTCACAGTGAGAACCAGCTTAGATTACTTGCCTACTTCAGACTATTGAAAGATGCACTCACCAATTTATTTTAGTCAGTGGTTTTCAACCTTCTCTGGGCACTAGAGTCTTATGGGGGAGATTTGGTTTGGGTAGTAATCGGCATCCCCTCATGGTTCTGAAGCACAGGGTACAAGAACCAATGACTTAGATGCATTAAAAAATAATTTCTGGGGGAGGCTCTCTGCCACAGTGTCGACGGCTGTTTGAAAGTGTTATGCACCTGAACAGTGTTGGCCTCCATAGCTGGAGGCCAAGGGCAATGAATATTGTGTTGCCCTCCACAGCAGTTGAAATCTGAGAATGAGACTTGTGCTTGTCTCCATCTCCTTGGCTGCCATAACAAAGTACCATAGATTGGGTGGCTTATATCAAGTTATTTTCTGACAGTTCAGAGGCTGGAAAGTACAAGATCAAGCCCATTTGGTTCCTTGTGAGTTCTCTCCCTGGTTTGCACACCTCTCATTGTGTCCTCACGTGGTACAGAGAGAGAGAGAACTGTAGTACTGTCAGATAGGGCCTCTCATTGTGTCCTCACGTGGTACAGAGAGAGAGAGGCTGTAGTACTGTCAGATAGGGCCTAATGACATTATTTACCCTTAATTACCTCCAAAAGACCCTATCTTCATTTAGAGTCACATTGAGGGTTAGAGTTTCTACCCATACCTTGTTGTGGGGGACACAGTTTACTCCATAGCAATGCCTTTGGTTTGAAGGTGTCAGATCAGTATATTATTTAATTTGGGACCAGCTTCATTCATGTTCTGGCTCTGGTCATGAGGTCCCAGGCAGAATGGAGTAGTTTCATTCTCCATCAAAATATCCCTAAACTATTTCTTTCTCCATGAATAGGCCATTGGGTTCCCAAACCAGAGTTGATCCACCTGCTGGAGCATGGACAGGAACTATGGATGGTGAAGGGAGGCCTCTCACATGGCACCTGTGCAGGTAGGTGGTCAGGAGCAGGTTAGGTGATATCATAGCAACCATCCAACCATGAGGGGCCACTGCCTCTAAATTTTAGATTCCTTTTTCCAAGTCTGAAAGGAAGTATGTGATGTTATTATCCATTATGATTAATATTATTACATGGATAATACTAACTGCTAACTTTTACTGATACTACAGGCCAGACACTGAACTAAATATCAGTCTAATTACATCCTGAAACACTGATACAGATTACCATCTCTCTGATTTGTTAAGTAGAGAAGCCTGAGGCAGTGTAACCAGAACCCAATTGCTTTTCTCCTTGGACACAAGCATCTCAGTCCTGAGCACCAGGTGTGACCAGATGCCTAGTTCTTGGCAATAGAATAAGTAGAAGTGAAATATGTATGCAATGGATGACTTCTCCCCTATTTCTCTCATTTCCCTTCTGCTATCTGAGTTATGTCAGAACAGCCTTGAAACTACCTATTCAGGGCCAGCATCCAAGCTGGTTAGAAGGCTGGCAACACCCCATTGAGTCCTCAGGCTCCTCTCTCTTAATCAGGTCTGACATCTATCCATCCCATGTCCTATTCATTTTACATTTTCTTTGTCTCCTAACTCCATCTCCTCTACCACTTTTTTTTTTTTAACTTGGCCAGATGTTCATCCTCTCTATACTCAACATTAAAATGTGCCCAGGTTCCTCACACTTGAGGAGGAAACAAATGCAAAATGCTGTTTCATCTTCAGTAGCCTACGACTTGTATTGACTCTGCTTACAAAGCAAAGCTTTCTATAGGAGTTATTTTGTTTTGGGGAAAGATATATACGCTTGACATCCATATTTTCTGTTAGAAAGAAATTTTTTTAATCTGAGGTATACAGTGCTGTGCACATATCCTTTTTTGAGAGAGAGATTTTTCCTGTAGAGGGCATGTGCTCGCTGGAGAGACAGAAAGACAGAAAAAGAGAACTCATCCTCCAGAGGGATGGTCACACTGAAATCCCTTCGCCATTCTCCTCTCAGGATTTTGGGCACTCATGCACATGCACCCTGCATGAGTTTTAAACCACTGGGCCTGGGACTTGAACCACTGTCAACTACATGGGAGTCCCACGACATAACCGTCTGCTGGTCCCAAATTTCAACGGTTCAGCTTACTTTTTTACATATGCATTCTTTACCTGGGTTAAGATTTAGAATATCTCCAGTACCTTGGGCTCTGTTGCCTCATTGTTGTCAATAACACCTACTACAATGCTAGCTACTCTTTTTTTTTTTTTTTTTTTTAGAGATTTTTTGCAACGGTGCGTGCGCTCACCAGACAGACAGAGAGAGACATAGAGACCGAAAGCAAGAAATCACCCCCTAGGGGGGATGGTCACACCGCAATCCCTTCTCTTCCATTCTCCTCTCAGGATCCTGGGCACGCACGCACACGCGCCCGGCGTGAGTTCTAACCCACTGGGTCCAGGATGTGAACCGCGGTCGACTACGTGGGAATCCAGCGACATAGCCATTATGCTAACTGCTGATTCCCAATGCTAGCTACTCTTTAGACTCTCTTCACTGTGGATTAATTTTGGTTTTATTTTTGCTACAGGCTATATGCACTTGTGTGCGTGGGGGGGGGTGGGGGCCGCGGAAGG